TAAAAATCAGAGAATTATACGTGTGTGTGTGTGTGTATGTATATGTGTGTGTGTGTATGTGTGTGTGTGTGTGTGTATATATATATATATATATATATATATATAAATAAAATCTATAATTATCTACAATGTTGATTGGTAAAAATACCATAAATTTTAACTGTGATTTTTTAAAAAAAGTTTTTCTTTTTTTTCTTTTTTGGTACAAAGGATTGAACCCAGGGGCACTCTACAACTGGGTTATAGCTCCAGTCCTCTTCATTTTTTTATTTTGAGACAGGGTCTCACTAAGTTGCTAAGGCTGACCTCAAATTTATGATCCTCCTGCTTCAGCCTCCTGAGGTTGCTGGGATTACAAGCATGCACCAGCTTAACTATGATCATTAACTTTCTTTGTACTTTTACATATTTTCAAAGTTTTATAAAATTAACATAATTTTACACATACACATATATGTTAAAAAAATTTACATTGGCCATAATCTAATTATTACACTTTGGTAAAATAACACATAAAATACATTAAAAAAATCACAAGCTTAGGAACTTAAAAAACAGTAAGAAAATACCACTATTTCCAAACCAAGAAAATGCTGCTGGCCATAGTAATGCATAGTAATTCGAACTACTTGGGAGGCTAAGAGAGGAGGATAACAAGTTTAAGGCCAGCCTGCGAAACTTAGTGAAACCCTGTCTCACAATTTTCAAAAATGGCTGGGGATGTAGCTCAGTGGTAGAAAGTTTGCCTAGTATGTGCAAGGCCCTGGGTTCAATCCCCAGCACTGCAAAATTTTTAAAAAGAACAAAATAAAAACAAAATATAGATCATTTTGCCCTAGGAAACAAGAATTGTTTATATACTATACTTGGACAAGAAATGCTTCGGGGTCCCTTTGTGTTCCTTTCATTCCCAGGAGAGTAGAGAAAATCACTTTAATGTTGAAGTCTTCTCCCACTTCCACAGCAAGTCCTTTTTGCTTTTCAGCAGCAATAAATGCATTCAGAAGTTTAGAATACTCTTTAAGATTATTATAGGAGAATTTATATAAGGGAGTTACACTATATAAAGTCCATTGTTTATGCAGGAGGAAAGCAACCTTCTGAGAATCAATATCTTCCTAAAAAAGAAAAAAAAGTTTAAAAATTAACAAACATTAGTAAGAAAGAATCAAAGGATTTAAGTATTTATACAAATCTATAACTGAGGCCCAAATCTTTCCATTCCCAAAGATCAAACTAAAGTGGGGTTTGCAAGATTTTTTATAGATCTTCGAACTTCGCTGAACATTCCCTTCTAGAATGCTCTTTCCCAGGAGTTCGAATGGCATGTTCCTTCACTTCATTCTGATCTCTTCCCAATATGCCACCCAAGAGGCTACTCCACTAAAGTAGCACCTGTACCCACTCCAACTTTGTCACTCTATATCTTTATATAAAAAGATATATAAAGATCTTTTTATATAAAGATATAGATATATATCTGCTTTATTTTTCTTCACAGCACTTAATTACTGAGTGACAATAAAATACTGTCCGATTTTTATTGTCTGTTTTCCCCAGAAAAGTCCATGCTTTCCAGCTCCATCTATTTTTTAAAACTTTACTTGAGAAAAAAATATTTGTTCGGGATAGAACATTTATTGAAACAATTACACTTTTTTCTTGTAGTTATCAAAATATATGGCAAAATTATTATAAAGGTAAAGAAGCACAGAATAGGGCATTCCAATCTTCATATAAAATTTCTGTTTTCTGGCTAAAAGCTATCACTTTCATTACCAGCATCAGTAATTTTTCTTTAAGAAAGTTGTTACAAAAATGCAAAACTTGACTCCTATCCCAAGAGATACTAGGCATCAACACTGATAAAAACAGCTACAATGAAGGTCACAACAGCACCTGTGCAGTGCTCCAACAAAGAATATGACTTCATTCTCATCACAAGCAAACATCAGACAAATACAAAATGAGCAGTATTCTATTTAAAAAGGGGAGAAAAGATTGTACTTTAAAAAAAAGTGTTAACATCATACAACAAAGAAATAAAAAAATATAAAGAAAAATACTGTGGAAATGATCCAGATTAAGGAGATAAAAGACAAGAATATAGTGCTAATACTATAAAATTATTTAACTGTTTCTCATTTATTTTATTAGTGAAGGGTTAAGAAGATATTATAAACAATAACAAAAATTGAAATGTTTTGCTCAGATAGTCTCAATTATTTATTAATCCACATGGGCTGGGGCAGTAGTTCAATGAGAGATCGCCTGCCTTGCATGTGTGAGGCACTGGTTCAATCCTCAGACCACATAAAAATAAATAAATAAAGATATTGTGTCCATCTACAACATATATATATATTTTTTTTTTCTTTTCTTTTAAAGAACACAAAGCATACCTGCAATTGTGAACACTGGGGAATTTTCCTTTGAGGTGGGGTTGGGACAGATGAAGTCTGCTTCCTAACTGACTCCAATCGTTTTTGCAGAGGGGTGGCACCTATAAGGTAATCTTTAAGACCTGAGGATGTACTTTGTCTAGGAGTCAATTCAGGTGTTGATTCTGATGCAACATAAGGATCCATGGTCTACATAAAAATAATAATAAGACAGAATTCTAAACACTAAAAGATTAACTCATATTCACAGTTCCACAGATTCCTCTACCCACTATAAAATAATTCTTTCTTTCCTTCCCCTTCTTCAACTTTTTCATGAAGTGCTACATTTCTCATTGGCTATAGCCATATTTATGAATACTTTATAGATACCACAAACAGTATGTTCAAAATTAAATTCAACTCCTTCCTTCCAAAAGCTAACTGGCCCACTGTCAAATTCCTATCAATTTTCTAGGAGAACTTAAATGCTTACAGTCCCCCACCTCCACTCTTTCACAAGTAGTCATTCAGCACATTCTATCAAATTCTTCCTTCAACAGCCTTTGTCATGCATTCCCAAAGCCATGGGCTGGTCTATATTTTTATAACCACAACCAAGAGTCCCTAAGAGTGAAACATTTTTCCAGAAATAGCACTCTATTGTTAGTTATCAGAGCAAAAACCTCATGACAATATAAATCCTAAACTCCTCTGCCAGATATTTAAGTCTGTCGAAATTCAGCTTCTCCTTTTTCTCCTCTCCAACCTAGGATATAAATATATTCAATCTTCATGTTTCTGCCTATCAACTATATCACTTGTCTGAATTGACATTTCCTATTCCACCTCCTTTAAGACCATGTTTGAATGTGACCTCCTTTCAAATTCTGTTTGAAAAAAAATTTTTTTTTTTTTTTGCAAAAATTCCTGTTCGAAAATTCAAACAAGAGGGTTTTTCCAAATCTTTTGCCCCTGAAATGCCTACATTATATGATTCTATCTGTATTGTGGCTCATTCCTGGAAGGTGTGTGTGTGTGTGTGTGTGTGTGTGTGTGTGAGAGAGAGAGAGAGAGAGAGACAGAGACAGAGAGATCTCATTTCCAAAGGAGAGAGAGAGAGAGAGAGAGAGAGAGAGAGAGAGAGAGAGAGAGATCTCATTTCCAAAGGAGTCCAGCAAAATTCTTCAAGAATGTTCTGTAAAATCTTTGGAGATACAGCAGCCACACAGCTCTCCTCACCAAGTCTGAACCACTCATTTTGGCCCCTGTTCATTTATTTTCTTGGTGTGAATTTCTTGTCTCCCCAGCAAGTCTAAGCTGCTTTGACTGAAATAGTGCTTTATAATTCTCTTGCATGACAGCCCTAATACAAAGCTGAAGTGCACTTTAATTGTTAACCAAGTATTGGTTTAATCGAACATAAGTATTCCACAGAGCTCCAACATGAAAATACCATTTCCACTGAAAGGAATAAAGTTATAATTACTCCCAACTACTGTGCTGTTAGTCTTTTAAAAGAGTTTTTCACAAATGAGGTTATACTTACAGTTTTATTTATTTCTGCGGTACTAGGGATTGAACCCAGGGATCTCTACCACCGCGCTACACCCCCGTTGTTGTTGTTGTTGTTGTTTGTTTTTTGGTCTCGCTAAATTGCCGAGGCTGGCCGGCCTCTGCCTCCGGAAAAGCTGGGATTACAGGTGTGCGCACCATTGCCCGGACGCAGTATCACTACATTTAAATGATAATTTGTAAGTACCATTTAAAATTCATGGTAGCAAACCAGGACACCCCGAGTTGTCTGTCCTGTAGGTAGTCCGTGCAGAAAGGGGCTTAATCACTTGGGTACACCCCACCAGTCCCTAAGGCCAACAGCTCCGAAGCCCGAGCGCGGCGGAGTGTCAACCACCTAGTGCGAAGCACGTCTGTGCTTAAAGACACAGGCCACAGCCAAGTTCACGGCCAGTCCTGGACCAACACAAAGCAGCTCACCAATAAAGTGCAGTGCTGACGCTGTCACCCATTCCGCGTGCACGAGTCATTCTTCAATCCGGCTCCGGAACTTTGTCGAGGCTGAAACCTCCTGAAGTGAAAAAGCCGCCAAAATGACAGCTGAGGGAGAGGCCCGAGTGCCGCCGGCGCTCCCCGAGCGAGCTCCCCCGGACGCCAATGCGCCCAGCTAGGAGGCCGCCGCTCGCTCCTAGCCGGAGGGGGTCGGCAAGAGACAGGAGACCACTCGCTCTCCACCCGAGCCCTCCTGGGGTAAAGCCAGATCTGAAAGCCCACGGCCAGAAGCGGCAGCTCGGCTCTCAGCGCCCTTCACAGTTTAAAATCATCTCCCGACTCGCTCTGCGGTCCCACGCAGGAAGCCTCCCTGGCGCCCCTCCTATTTCAAGACAGTGAAGTAACCCAGGTCGCCATTTTAACTGAGGTCAAGGCCGATGACTTAGTCTTTATCAACTGCGCGGCGCTGCTTCTCGGTTTTCCTCGGGTGCGAAGCGTTCCCCTCCTATTTCCGCCCGTAGTAGGCATGGCGGCGGAAACTTCTTTCTGATTGGTAGAATGCCTTCCTCTAATCCTGGGCGCTGGCTGGGCGGGTACAAGGACCATTGACTCCCCGGGTCTTGCGTGGTTTCTGGCCTAGGAGTGCTCTTGATTTGGTTGCCTTCCTTTTCCTACGGAAAGGCTTAGGTCGGCTGCCAGGTCTAGGAGATTTGGAACGCAGGCTGCTTCCTCCTTGTTTTCCGGTTCTGCCCGTGGGAGCCTTCGTTCTGGCGGAGAAGAGGAGGAAAGCGTGCGCCTGGTGACAGGCCTTTCCGCGTCGCGCTTCACACTGGTCCTATGGTCACTCGGCGCAGCGGCATTGATAGAAGTGGAAAGTGATGCCCTGACGGGGAGAGGGCTTTTCCCTATCCACTCATCCAAGGGCCTTCCAAACCTTGCAGATTTATGTAGTTGCTAGACACTCGTACCCGGATGTTCAGCGGAGGAGGGCTTAAATGTTGGAGAAGAGTGGGAACTAAAATTTTAAGGGACTAAGGTGCATTTCCAAAACAGAGTTTTGAGCACCGTCCAACACCTGCAGCGTGGAATTTGTGATCGTCTCTCGCCGTCCTGGGGTCTCAGCATGTACTTCCTTTCCTGGTTAAGTCAGCTGTGCAGGGGTTTATCCAGACCCATCGGAAGGACAGCCCAGCCAACCTGGGGTTCTTTCTCCCGAAGTCTGGCGCTGAGTTCACAGAGGAGAATTCCAGGTGAAAACAGGGAAGAGCCTGTTCTTTGCAGCCATTTCCCCCCAGTCTTGATAGCTGTATGTATGGAGAAGCAGATCATTTCCTTTTTATATTCCTTATTATGCATTTTTTTCATTGTTTTTTTTGTTGTTGTTGTTGTTGTTGCTTTTGTTTTTTAACGACCCTAGAAAGGTAACCGCATTGTAGTCTATTCTGTTTGGTTGATACTACAAGTAGGAAGCCAAAAAGAACCTTTCACATTTTTTATATTTTTCCAGTGTACAAGTGGCTATTACACACTAGTTTCATACTACAGCTATATTGTTACTGCACCATCAAACATCTTTAATTCCTAATATCATATTTCATTTCGGGAAAAAAGTGTAATATTTAGAATTGGGCAATTAGGATTTTAGGTCAGTGCAACTGCTAGATCCAGAAAAAGCTAAGTTTCCTAACCCAAAGCAAAAATTTGCATTCAAACAGTTATTCACTTGGCTTTTGACACATTGGCAGGTAAATTTAATACTGGATGAATCTACATGCTCTAATTTACACATTTCTGCCTGAAATATTTAAGAATCTGTGAATTGAGAATATTTTTAAGCAATCTGCAAGTAATATATTTTTAATATTGCCTTTTACACATTTGTTTTTTTTCCAAGAATTCAATAGCTTTGTTGCCAGGACCAACACGTGTGGAGAGTTACGTTCTTCTCACTTAGGCCAAGAAGTCACCTTGTGTGGATGGATTCAGTACCGAAGGTAAATTGAAGTATAAGTGGATGGTGGGCCAAGGAGCAGTGGCAGACCCTGTCTCATAATAGAAAATGGTTGAGGTATAGCTCAGTGGTAGAGCACCCCTGGGTTAAATCTCCCAATACCACCAAGAAACCCCTGAATGTATGGTAATTGTTTCCCGAAAGCAATTTCAAACCTTTACTAAAGTTTTAAGTATTCATGAGAATAAAAAGCTTTCTGTAACCCCTGCAGGACTCTCAAAATTCACTGAATTCTTATTTCTCATTTTTGTTTTGAAAGATCCAAATGGTGTCAGTCTTAGTAAGTACCAGAAGAGAATAAAAATGAAGCTTGGTCCTGGAATGGACTAAAAATAGCCCTGGGCTAACTAAATTGGAAGAGTTCCTATGACCAGTAAACTAGAAATGGGCCCACATCCTGGAAACAGCTGGGAAGCTTCAATAGCATGAGGAAAGAGCTTATTTCATCCTAATATTAGGTAGGGAAAAAAACCTAAAAGCACCAACAGTGGTTTCTTAAGATCAGAGCCTATTTTTTGTTGTTTAGCTCTGTATTCCAGACCATATGTGAAGAGATTCAAAATACATAGGCTGTGTGACCTTAAAAGCATATGTCCCAGGGCCTGGGGTTGTGGCTCAGTGAGCTCGCCTACCATGCGCGAGGCATTGGGTTCGATCTTCAGCACCACATAAAAATAAAGGTATTGTGTTCACGTACAACTAAAAAAATAAAAATAAAATATTTTTTTTTATAAAGTGTATGTCCCAAGTGGGTGGATATTTACCCCGTAAATTTGGTGATTTTTGTTTTCTGAACCCAAAATCTGTACCTCTTTCAGATACTAAAGACAGAATGAGGAGTGTAGATTGAATGTTAAAAGGTTGAAATCTGGGGAATTTTTTGGTGATTTGTAGAATTGTTAAATTAGTAGTTGGAACTCTTCTAGGAAATTTCAGATCATATACCTTTTTAGGAAGGAAAAAAACCTTAACATTGCTATATTTCAAAAATGATTTCTAATACCATATTATGTCTGAATTGCACCTTATAAAAAGTTTCCACGTTTCATAAAATTATCTTATGCAGACTTAAGCCAATGAAAAGTTCTTTTAATTTTTTTTTTTTTTAATTTTTAGTTGTAGATGGACACAGTACCTTTATTTTATTTATTTGTGTGGTACTGAAGATCGAACCCAGTGCCCCCACGCACGCAAGGCAAGCTCTGTACCACTGAGCCACAACCCCAGCACAAGTTCTTTTAATTTTAAATCTGCTTTTTCATTAATAAACTATCTATAGAAGAGTAGTGGGCTATATAAATGACCAATAAAATTGAAATTTTAAAAAATGACTTGTTTTCATTAATAAGCAATGTAGACAATAATTGCATAAATATAGCTAATGAAAGTACATAGTTATTCATAAAAAAGGAACATGATAAATTGCTTGGGGTTTTTGTTTTGTTATTGAACTTGTTTACTCTGATTAAACTTTGGGCTTAGAGATTTTATCCTAAAATGTTCATTTTATTTTTCATTAATCAGGCAAAACATCTTCCTAGTCCTAAGAGATTGCCACGGTCTTGTTCAAGTTGTCATTCCCCAGGATGAGGTAATAGAAAGTGTCCTACTGTTAAAAGCTTCTTTGATGCTGTGGCTACAGAAAGCTAAGTAGTTTGATATGAGTGTGTTTGAGATTTTAAATTCAGGGGCTTATTGTTAATAAAAACTAAAAACTACCATAAGCAACATTAACATGCCAAACTGGAAAAAAAATATATATATGTGCAACTCATGTTACAGAAAATGGCTTCTCTAATAGCTAAAAGGCTATTAGAGCCAGGCACGGTGGCGCACACCTGTAAACCCAGCAGCTAGAGAGGCTGAGGCAGGAGGATCAAGAGTTCAAAGCCAGCCTCAGCCACTTAGGGAGGCACTAAGCAACTCAATGAGACCATCTCTAAATAAAATACAAAAAAGATTGGGGATATGGCTCAGAGGTTAAGTGTCCCTGAGTTCGATCTCCAGTACCAAAAAAATAAAAAATAAATAAAAATTAAAGAGTACTACAAATCCATTAAAAAAAAAAAAAAATAGACCAGTGGGCTGGGGATACAGCTCAGTGGTAGAGCACTTGCCTATCATGCACAAGGCATTGGGCTTCATTCCCAGCACCACAAGAAAAGAAAGAAAATTTACAGAAAATATAAATGGCATGCAGACAAATGAAAGTATACCCAGCCTCACTCACAGGTAGAGCAATGTGAATTAAAACTACCCAGAATTGTTTTTAACACTTTGGATTGACAACACACTGTGTTTGGGGAAGCAGGTGCTCATACATTCTTGGAAGGAGTACAATATCATCGCTAGCTGTATGGAGAGCAATTTGGCAATATCAAGATTATAATTACATATATACTTTGAACCATTCATTTCACTTCTGGAAAATTACAGTTATCCTACATCTAGACACAGATGCAAAATGTCATACATAAAATGATATTCATTTCAGGATTATTTTTAATAGAAAAAATGGGAACTACAATGTTCTCAATAAGATATTAGTTTAAAAAATAATATGCATCTTTACAGTGAGATGTAGAAAAAGAATGAATGGGGGCTGGGGATGTGGCTCAAGTGGTAGCGCGCTCACCTGGCATGCGTGCGGCCTGGGTTCGATCCTCAGCACCACATACCAACAAAAATGTTGTGTCCGCCAAGAACTAAAAATAAATAAAAAAATAAAAAAAAAAAAAAAAAAAAAAAAAAACCCTGGAGGAAAAAAAAAAAAAGAATGAATGGAAAAAGAATGAATCTCTTTACCAATAGGGAAAAAAATCCAAGATATATTGTTAAATGAAAAAAACAAACAAAAAACCCACAACAGGATATAGACGAACATGTACAGTGCTGTTATCCAGATGAACTATAGTAAGAGATGGAATGTGTGCTCACTGTGTGCATGTTTATACGCATTGTGAAATGGATCTGCTAACATTGGGTGCTTCTGGGGAGGGGAACTGAGGTCCTTGAAGACATGGATAAGATGGAAACTTTTATCTTTTCTATCTGTCTATACCTTTTGCATTTTGAGCCCAGCGAAGGGAAGACCTGCTCTAAATACTTACCATTCACATTAGATGAAAGAACTGCCGTCATGCCCATTGGGCACTGTGGGTGCCTAGTTGTGGTAATTTTTACAAATGCTTCTATGTCAAAGGAAAATAAGATTTACTCAGCTAAGTGAAATAGAAGCGGTGAACTATTTGGAGAACGAGGACTTGGAGGTGAGCATAGCTACCGTATAGTCCATTATCGCTATTGGACGTAACTGCCCCTTAGACTAACCCTGGAGACAGTTGTCTTCAAAGTATGAGGGAGGTGTTTGCATTACTAATAGTTGTTCTTATTTTCCTTTGAGAAAGTTTTTAAAATTCTTAACTGATAGTTTTACTTGCTATATTACATGGAGTCAAAATAAGGATGCAGTTTGCCAAATGTATTATAATACAGTCATCTTATGGGAAGTATTATGGGAGGTAAGTTGTGAATATTAACATTTTTCTAAGCCATAAACTTTCAGACACCTGTAAGTTCATTTGTTTCTTGGAACTGTTTTCCTCCTCTGTAGACAGCTGCTTCTGTAAAGAAGATTCTATGTGAAGCCCCTCTGGAATCTGTGGTGCAAGTGTCCGGAACAGTCATTTCCCGACCTCCAGGACAGGAAAATGCAGTTAGTAGTTTAGAAACTGTTTATGTAAATTTTACCTGTTTGCATTGGCAATATCTTTATACACATTCAGGCAATATAGACCTGTTGTCCGTTAGGCACTAAATGCTCAGTAAGTTCTACCGATAAACCTATAGATTTCAACATCTTCATTACAAACACATCTATATAAATATGCATGCTAAGACAAAGTATCATCCATGGGTAGGCACAAGAACATCAAAGCCATGCACAGACGTATATACTATACACTCTAATAAGGACCTACACATTTTACATCTATGAATAAAGTTGTGTGTTTTGTAAATGTGCATCGTGTACATGTCCTGATCAGCAGATTTTAAAATAGGTCTTTTCTCTCTGTCTTTAAGAAAATGCCAACAGGTGAGATTGAAATCAAAGTTAAAACAGCTGAGCTTTTGAATTCCTGCAAGAAACTGCCCTTTGAAATTAAAGACTTTGTGAAGGTACTAACTTCTGTTATTTGATGACCAGAATTTTCAGAGCTTTTTAAAGAAAAAGTTTACCTTCTACAAAATTAAACATCTTACCAACAAATTGTTCTTAAATAGCGGCAGTTCATTAAGCTGTTGCAGTCTGTAAACACCTAAACTTTTTTCAGACAGGTTGAAATATGGGTCTATCTTTAAGACTAGAGGTGTTATATTTAATTTCTTTGTTGCTCCAAAATGTTTAATGTTTTGTAAGAAAATTTATATCTATCTTGGAAATCATTGAATGGTGTAGGGGAATCCTGCACCTATTAAATTTAAGCCTCTAAGAGTGATAAAATTATGGTTAGAGTGACTTCTCAAGCCCAAACATGTAAATAGAATTACTGTAATTCAAGATGTTCTTTGCCAAAGTTTGAGGGATCACCGGAGCTAGGTAGCACTGGGTAAGTACATCCAGATGATTTTCAGCTGGGTCACTGTTACAGGCTTTTTTACTAGAGTGCTGGGGATTAAACCCAGGGCCTAATATGCCATGCCAGTGCTCTATCCAGTCCTATATACCTTATTTTAAAGTGATCTATTCAGGAACGTTTAAATTAATTCTGTAGCCACTTAGTCTTATATTTATAAGTTCTCAATACTCAGAAAAAAAATAATAAAATTACAGAGTTGACCTCAATGTGAGAAAGAAATATACAGATTTCTCAAGATAAGCATTTAGAAAGTGAATTTAGAGGTATTTCTTACTATTTCTGTTTCTATTATCTAAGAAAGGAGCTATTTTGGAGGGATATGACATTCTTTAAAAAAAGTACTCAGCACAAAGATGGATGCAGATTTTCAGCCTTGAACATAAGCACACCTCACCCATTTCTGCCAGTACAGCAGAGGAGGCTCCACCTGCCATCCCTTTACATTCCTTACACTTGTAGTCAAGGGTCCCCTCCAGGTAATAATTAAGCCAGCAGTTTTTGATGTGTTTATTTTGTTTTGTTTTTGCAGCAGGGATGGAACCCCAAGGGCACTTAACCACTGAGCCATACTCCCAGCCCTTTTTATTTTTAATTTTGAAACAGCTGAGGCTGACTTTGAACTTGCAATCCTCCTGCCTCAGCCTCCCAAGCCACTGGCATATGCCACCCTGCTGATTGATATGTCTTTTTAAAAGATCTTTAAAATTTTCACTAGTCAATTATGGACTTTAATGAATGGATTAATGTTTAATAGGTAAATTTCAAATCAGTGAAGGGTGATATTAATACTCATGAATAGTAAGAAATGTAAAATCTGTATTAGTAACAAACTTAGAAGTTGTAGGAGCTGAGGCTGGCAAGGTGTACACATGGTGCAGATAGCAGGCTGTAGGCTTCCTGGTGATGGAAGCTAAGGACAGAGCTAAAGATAACACCTGTAATTCAAAAAGTAAACATAAAAATCTTTAAATTTGTTTAGAAAACGGAAGCTCTTCGTTTGCAGTATCGCTACTTAGACCTTCGTAGTTTCCAAATGCAGTACAATCTGCGACTGAGGTCCCAGGTGGTCATGAAAATGCGGGAGTACCTTTGTAATCTCCATGGTAAGGGAAAGCCTGAATATCCTTTGGGGCTTTTTAGCATCTCTTAGGTTGTATTCAGTTTTATTTTATCCTCTCCTTCCGTCATGGGTCAGGTATTGGGAGAAATTTGGAACTGACGCCATGTGTAGTTTTTGAAGAAAATTTATTTTACAGGTGTTTGTCCTAGAGCATAATTTAGTCACTAGGTGCTCACTGGGTCACATATACTTCCTTTTGAAGGTAGTAATACCTGTTACATTGTTTAACCTAGCATTTCCCATTGTTATTGAAGGCAGGACAGCCCTTTTTTGTTTCTACAGCAGAAGTTTTCTTAATGTTTTGTTTGTTTATTGTTTACTTTTGCTGGAACCTTGGAAATGGCTTGTGAATTTAACTAGATACCTTGATTAGTTCTGGGGAAAATCTGCACTGTTTGTGTTATTGTCCCTACGCTTAGAACGTTTTGAATAGCAGAATAATTTAGTAAACAAGAATCCATCAAGTATTTAGGATTATTTTGTATCAAAAGTATCAGCTTTATAAAAGAACAGAATCTTTTGAAAAGCTTCAGATTACTTCTTGGACTTATAAAAACCAATAAAACTAGGGTTGGCAGCTTATTTCAGCCCAAGTTATTAATTAAAGGAGAGCCTTTCATTTGTTGGACTGTAGTATAGACATCATATTTGAAAAATTCCTATCTACTAAATTCTGATATTTCTTTCTTTTTAGGGTTTGTGGATATAGAAACCCCAACACTGTTTAAGAGAACCCCAGGGGTATGTATATTCCTGAAATCATTCTATTAATAATGTCTTATTAGTTGTAAAACTGGACCACTTTGCTTTTGTATTCACTTGGTCCACTTTTATTTTTATTTCGTTTTACTTACTGCCACAGGATGGTCACATTAACTAGATTGTCTTAAGAATTGAGAAAATTGAGTCAGTAATTTGAGTCAGAACCTTTTATTCCATGGAGATTTCTTTTCCTTGCAATTCATAGATGTAAATCATTAATGAATTGGTTCCTTAAAAACAAAACCCTTGTTTATTAAGAACTGACATTTTGGGGCTGGGATTGGGGGTGTAGCTCAGTGGCATAGTGCTTGCCTAGCATATGTGAGGCAATGGGTTCAATCCTTAGTACTACATAAAAATGAACAAATAAAATAAAGGTATTCTGTACATTACAACTACAAAAAAAAAAAGAACTGACATTTCAGCCGGGCATGGTGGCACATGCCTATAATCCCAGTGACTTGGAAGGCTGAAGCAGGAAGATCACAAGTTCAAGGTCAGCCTCAGTCACTTAGCAAGACACAGTCTCAAAATGAAATAAAATAAAGGGCTGGGATGTAGCTCAGTGGTAGACTGTCCCTGGGTTCAATCCCCAGTACAAAAAAAAAAATTTTTTTTTTTTTTAAACCAAACAGACATTTCTAAGTGTGTAAGTGTGTGTGTGTGTGTGTGTGTGTGTGTGTGTGTGTGTTTAACCGCCCTCTTTACCATCTGTTCTCTGTGCTGGGAGCAACTCTCCTGAAATGTATATCATACTCCAAGCTCCTCTCCACCCCCATCTTAGTCAGAAGCACTTCTCTGTTGCTCAGCACCCACTGTCTGCATTGGTGCTGAGACAACAGACACACAGATGAGATCCTCAGAAGCTTGCTGGTCCCACATCCCCTGACCTCATTTGTCTCTAGCCACAGTGTCCAAATCAGCATCGTTTCAAAGGATATTGACACAGCACCTAAGTTCACTGGGGAACATTGCTCTTTAGTTAATTTCATTGATGAGCTGAAGTATACACTTCCATCAGTCAGTTATACCTTGGGTTTATTTTTTTAATAATGTCTCCCCTTTCCCTCTCTCTCTTTAAAAGGGTGCCAAAGAGTTTCTAGTACCATCCCGGGAACCTGGAAAGTTTTATTCTCTCCCTCAGAGTCCTCAACAGTTTAAGCAGCTTCTGATGGTTGGTGGTTTAGACAGGTGAGTTTTTTATGCTATAAAAGTTGTCAAAAAAAATGAAAAGGGAGAAATGAAAGAAAGGGAAAAAATTCAAAAAAATTGTCTGGCCTCTTAAGATTATAAAATTTATAGGAATTCAAAGAATACTTAATAAAATACCCTGAAAACTTCATAGTAGTCCTCATTTAGTAAAAATTTATTGCTAGGCCCAGTGATGAAAGCTAAGGCAGGAGAATCACAAGTTCCAGGCCAGCCTCAGCGACTTAGCAAGATCCTATTTCAAAATAAGAAACAAAAAGGACTGGGGATGTAGCTTAATGGTAGAGCACCCCTAGGTTCAATCCCCAGTACTGAAGGGAAAAAAAGTTTATTTGGTATCTACCACGTACAAAGGTCTATGCTGATAGATGTGACAAGGTTAAAAAGAAGGTTTTGTTGTCATGAGTTAATAAGACTAGCAAAGCAGAATAGAACAATGAATAAAACCAACTGTAAAATAAACCAAAATATAAATGCATGGAAATTTGAAAACTGTGATCCAGGTTCAGTGGAGTGAGTCTGTAGTCACAGCTACTTGGGAGACAGAAGATGACTTGAGCCCATGAGCTTGAGACCAGCCTGAGCAACAGTGAGGCCCTGTCACAAAGAATAAAAAAGAACTTTACAAACTGAGTATGAAGAGGTTTGAAATTACATTGAAAGCATCCTGAGTCACACCCTCAGAGAGCTGCATTTCAGCAGGGGTGGGGATGAACATGCAATGGCATAGAACAGGAAACTACAGTGTGTTCCTACAGCAGAAGTACCTCAGTCTGGCTAGAGCAAAAAAGTAAAATGCTGAGAAGCACTGACTAGGAAAAAAAGCATCCAATGGTTTACATGACATTCTAATTACTACTGTCCTAAGGGGCCAGAGAATATTTTAGAAACAATATATAGAATAGTAACTTCTCTTGGATCAGCTGTGTATCCAATTAAAGTATCATTTAAAAAAAAAAAAAGTTTCTTATGTCTTTGAGGTATCATTATTAATTTATCTCACAGTCTGCCTCGTGATAAGTTTGTGTGTTCTTAAACCCATGACTCAGTTGGTGCTTTGTTTCACTTGTAGATACTTTCAGGTTGCCCGATGTTATCGAGATGAAGGTTCAAGACCAGACAGGCAGCCCGAGTTTACTCAGGTACAAAGTTACATCAACACCAGCGAAGTAACTTTATATACCTAACTTCTCATTAAGTATTATTCTGCACATATGTAGTTAAATTCACCTGCAGTTGAGGCTCTCATTATCCAAATTTTGGTCTATTTCATGAGGAGCATGGTCATCAGCTGAGGAATGCCAGAGTTGTCATCAATGTTTGATTGTTACTGACTTGAAAGTCCTTAAAGCAAATTTCTTGCATAATAAAATCTTATAATTCTAGGGCTGGGGATGTAGCTCAGCAGTAGAGCTCTCACCTAGCACCTGTGAGGCCCTGGGTTTGATCCTCAGCACCACATAAAAATAAGTAAAATAAAGGTATTGTGTTCAACTACAACTAAAAAAATTAAAAAAAAAAAAACTTGTAATTCTGTATATTGATATTTAATTTGTTTATCTGTGGACTTATCAAAGCCATTATGATTTTATTTCTGTATGATAGCATATTAATAAGTATGATAAAGTGTAAAAAATCATAGGCTATGGAATTGGACAAACCTGGGATCACATGTAGTTTCACAACTTCTTGATGCCGGGTACACAGGCAAATTACCCAGCTTCTCTGAGCCTTAAGCCATGAGATGGTTGTGGGAACTAAGCAAGTTAATACAAGGCATTAGCATAGTGCCTGACCTAAAGAAGATATGCAATAATATTTACACTCTCTCTATATATTGTAAGTATTTTTGGTATAGAATCCTGTGGTAAATTGAAAGCAGAGAAATGTATATATACATATAGTGTGTGTGACTATTCCAAGTTAGTCTCCTTGTGTTATTTTGGTTTCAGATTGACATAGAAATGTCTTTTGTAGACCAGACTGGGATCCAGAGTTTAATTGAGGGTCTGCTCCAGTATTCCTGGCCCAGTGACAAAGACCCTTTGGTAGTTCCTTTTCCTTCCATGACCTTTGCTGAGGCATTGGCCACCTACGGAACTGATAAACCTGACACTCGCTTTGGCATGAAGGTATTTCTCCACACTTTTCCAGAATCCTGCTCTCAAATAGTTCCACAGTCTCTTAAACCATTTTAATGAAACTTATGTTACACACTGTTATATTTTTGTTACCTTGTTACAGAACTATAGCAAAAAAGAATAACATGTTAGCATTAAATTGCTTTTTTTCTATCTAATGTGTTCCAAGATCCATTTCCAAGAGCAAGATACTTGCTATAAAGTTTTTATTACAGTACTTACCAGTTATTGATTAGAGGGACATGAATAGTAACTTGAAAGAAAAAGAAGTATGCTTTCTATTTCAATTTTTTAAGCCATCATGGTACTTGGAAGGCAAATGATCCAGAGTTCTTCATTTTCCTTGGTCAATAAAAAACTCAAACACTTGAAGACATTTATTCAGATTATTAATATCTGTGTGTATGAAAGGACAAGAGTAGAATTTATATAGAGCAGTTTCATTACCAGGCTTTCCATTATTTGCTCTGAGAAAGCAGTAGCCCTTGAACTTTGTAATGCTGCTGATATTTCTGAACCTCAGTTCTCACAAAAATTTCTTAGAAATTGAATTCTGCCTAGTCAATAAAATCTGGGCTCAGTTTTTTTTTGTTTGTTTGTTTGTTTTTTTAAGAGAGAGAGAAATTTTTTAAATATTTATTTATTTTTAGTTCTCGGCGGACACAACATCTTTGTTTGTATGTGGTGTTGAGGATTGAACCCGGGCCGCAGGCATGCCAGGCGAGCACGCTACCGCTTGAGCCACATCCCCAGCCCTGTGCTCAGTTTTTAGAATGAAAAAAATATGATGATGGGGTTATAGCTCAGTGGTAGAGTACTTGCCTCGCACATGTGAGCCACTGGGTTCGATCCTCAGCACCACATAAAAATAAATAAAATAAAGCAAATATATTGTGTCCATCTTAAAAAATATTTTTTAAAAATAGGATGCATACAAAGTCATAACTGTACATGTAGCTACCAACTTAACTACTCATATCTTCATTTGTAATATGGAATAGTGGGTCTTAAGTCCAACTGCTTGGGTTACATCCTGGCCATTTACTAGCTTTGTCATCTTAGACAACTTACTTTCTTTTCTGTGCCCCAGTTTACTCATTTATGAAATGGAGATAGACTGTCAGCCTAGTACTCTTGTATGAATGAAATAAATATTTGTAAAATACAAGTTATAATGCTCAATCCATGAGCATAGTGCTTAGCCCTCTTTGAATGTAAATATTAACTTATCAAGATCTATTCTCTTCTTTGAAATCTTATTTGTAAAATGTTTTTTGAGATAAAAATGACTTCATGTTTAATTATCTCTTTTTGTTGCCCTTTCACCAGATTGTCGATATCAGTAATGTGTTCAAACACACAGAGGTCAGATTTCTTCAAGATGCACTTAGTAAGCCCCAAGGAGCTGTCAAAGCCATGTGTGTCCGTGAAGGAGCAGTAAGTGAAGCATAGTTCTGTTTTTTCTATAGTGTATGTTTTGGAAGTAAATATGTTTAACATTGGTACATTTAAACTTGAGGAAGAACTATTCTCTTTAAATAAAAATATGTACTTTTCAAAATCTAGCAGTGTCCCTAAAACTCTAAGTAGAGAACAATAAACCTTAAGAATGTGAGTTTATATTCGAGATCTTGGCCACCCTCTTTTTTTCCTTTCTTTTAAACACGGCTGTACACTGCTATTGTACTTCATTTGGGATAATTTCATTGGCAATACTTTATAAGCATAAATGCTGGATAGGATTTAGCGTTTCAATCATAGTGTTGGTTTATCCAAAGACTCTTAGCACCTAGCATAGTCCTGGCCTGTTGATTTTTGGTGTTCTGAAGATTCTGGCATCAATAGGGGAAGCAAAGGAGGTGGAACTAAAAAAGCAAAAAGAAAGGGAGGTAAGAGGAGAAAGGAGAGTGGTTGGGCTGAGCAAGCACTCACTGTAAAGTGAAGGGACACATTTGGTACTGTAATAAGTATACTTGCTTTGAAAGTAATGAGTCATTCCAGAAGTTTCTTCAATCAGATTACTATTTTGAAAGATTATGCTCGTTTGGATACATAGTATATTTAGAATGGGGGAAAGAACTCTTGTCTTATTACTCTATATTCACTTCCTATGTTCAGTGGAAAGTAATTTGGTATCCATATTCTCTCTAGTCCAAATAAAAAGTGTGTTCAGGTATGCCAGGATAACTTATTGCCTGTTGGTATTATTTACCCTGTTTCAAGTGTATCTTTTCGGCTGGGGATATAGCTAAGTTGGTACAGTGCTTGCCTCGTGTGTCTTTTCTTCTCTTAGTAGACTACAGGAATATATATTATTTTTCACCTCTTTGTATCTCCTGTTCCTAATGAAATGCCCCATGAGAATAGCTGAGGATGACCAATGTCTCACTTAGACATTAAGATAATTTGAAATCAGATGCAAAGAATTTTAAGAAACTTAATCCAGGGGCTGGGGTTGTAGCTCAGTGGTAGCACGCTTGCCTAGCATTGCGTGAGGCACAGGGTTCAATTCTCAGCACCACATACAAATAAATAAAGGTCCATCAACAACTAAAAAATATTTTTTTAAAAAAGAAGAAAACATTAAAAAAAACTTAATCCAGTTTATCAAAAGCAAGATATAAAGAATTTTTAAGAAACCTTCAATAAATTCTGAATCCTTTTGTGGATCTGAAATATTTTCTTTCACAGTTCAGTTATATTTTATTTATCCTTTGTATTCCACATCTAAAGACTTCTGGGGAATACAGACACAGCTCTTTCCAATGAGACCTGCATAATTGGGAAAAATAAGACCTATAATAAGTTTTAAAAATGTGTTATTTAGGGCTGGGGTTGTAGCTCAGTGGTAGAGCACTTACCTAGCACATGTGAGGCACTGGGTTCAATCCTCAACACCGTATTGAAAAGTCAATCAATCAATAAATAAGAGTTAAATTCTTAAAAAAAAAAAAAAAAAAGTGTTATTTAGAAGCCTGTTTAGGTAGCACACACCTGTAAGCCCAGCTACTCAGGAGAGCGAGGCAAGAGAATTACAAGTTTGAGGCCAGCCTCAGCAACTTAGTGAGGCCCCAACTCAAAAAGTAATGATTTAAAAAAAGCACTTGGGCTGTAGTTCAGATGAAGAACACTCCTGAGTTCAGTTCCTCATACAGAAAAAAAAAAAAAAAAATTATTTTTGGTCATTTAGAGTTCTAGTGGCTTTGGTGGGGTTGGGTGAGGTTAAGGTAGGTAAGGAGGTGAGGCAGCTGGGGCCTGGTTTTCCTCACCGCTTCCTGCTCTGGTTTGTGTCTTCCTAGAGAACAGGATCATCCCAAAGGATGGCAGGAAAATTTGTAATTTAGTAGCAGAAATTAAATTTGTATTAAATCTCACTATTGTGATGAAAAAAACAAATATATTTGTGTTCCATTGATGTTATAAACACGTTTATGAAGCTGAGTGTCATATTAATGAGTTTTCTTTATTTTTCATCAGAATTACTTAAAAAAGAAAGACATTGAGTCCATTAGAAAATTTGCAGCTGACCATTTTAAAGAGGTAAGGAATTAATTAAAGCAGTTTTCTTCCTTTTGGGAATTCAGTATTTTTAACTGATTGCTTGAGCTTTTAAGATATCATTAATTTTGAGGGTCTTGTTATTTCAGATCACGCTTTGACTTTTCTTCTATTTATCTTTAAAGTTAATGTTACCCCGGGTATAACTCTAAGACTTCAATTTAATTGAATTAACATTTATCAGAGTATGAAAGCTCAAACATATTCCATTTAAATAAAGGTATTTTTATCCAATTTGGAAAATAAATAGAGCCCTACATGCTCAAGGTTTAACAAAAAGCATTACAAGCATGAATGACTTCCAGTATTCAGGGTTCTTCCTATACCTATTTTAAGACTCTATATCCAACTTCGACAGACACATTTTGTGTTTGAGACCAGCCTGACAACAGTCAAATGAGACTTCACTTTTTAGACAATCTCATTCATTTCCTGTTTCTTTATAGTCTATACCTTTGCTTCAGCCAGATCAACATTCTTGCAAGCCTGGGATGGTAGTACAGCCTGTTATCCCAGCTACTCATGAGACTGAGGCAGGAGGATTGGCAAGTTTGAGGCCAGCTTGGATGACTTAGCAAGTGGTAGAGCACTCAATTTTTTTAAAAAAAATATTTATTTTATTTACTTCTATGTGGTGCTGAGGATCGAACTCAGGGCCTCACACGTGCTAGGCAAGCACTCCACCACTGAGCCACAACCCCAGCCCTGTTTGTTTGTAATATTTATTTTTTAGCTGTAGTTGGATGCAATAATTATTTTTATGTGGTCCTGAGGCTCGAACCCAGTGCCTCACGTGTGCCAGGCAAGTGCTCTATCACTGAGCCCCAGCCGCAACCCCTCCAATTCTTTTTTGAGGAGGATTGCTTTAAAACAGGATCTCAATATGGTGCCTAGGCTGTTCATATGGTCTCAAACTCATGGGCTCAAGTGATCCTCTTGGGTAAGCTCCCAAGTAATGGACTACAGGCATGTGCTGCTGTTATTTTAATTAAATTTAAATAGCCATACCACATAGCCATGGTTATTACTTCTCCCATCTGCTGTTACTGATGAGAAGTATAATGTTTGTATGGATTTTTTCCTTTACAGCAGACATGATTATTTGATTATTTTTCTCTTTGGAAGTTTTCAGCCTCCTGAAAACTTTTTTCCGGGGATGGGGGTCAGTGTTGGGGACTGAACCCAGGGAATCATGCATGTGAGGCAAGTACCCTAATCTGAGCAACACCAGCCCCTCCCAAATCTTGATGTTCTAAAATTTCAAGTTTGGATCACTTTTTTTTGATACCAGGGATTAAACCCAGGAGCACTTAACCACTAAGCCAAATCCCCAGGCCTTTTTATTTTTTATTTTGAGACACAGTCTTGCTGAATTGCTGAGTCTGGCTTTGAATTTGTGATCCTCCTGCCTCAGCCTCCCAAGCTGCCAGGTTACAGGTATGTGCCACTGCACCTAGCCTGGATCATTTTTTTATTCAAGTATTGTACACTTGAAGGGCCCTTTCAGTATGAAAGCTCATGTCTTCATCTGGGGAAATTTCTTTTACTATTTAATTATTTTGTTGGATTGTTTTGTTTCTAGGGCTGGGGACTGATCCAGAGCCTTACACATGCTGCACACCAATTCTATCACCGACCAGCTCTTATTGTTTTGATGTCATCATTTTTTCTGATCTATCTCTAGCATTTCTCCGAGTTGTATGTTGAACCCTTTCACATAGCTTATATTGCTTTTTTCCCCCCCAAGTCCTTTCCTATCATTTTCTCCATCCTTTTATTCTGTTTTCTAGATTTCCTCAAGTCTTCTGTTGAACTTTTTTTTCATGTTTGTATTTCTAGTAGCTCTTTTCATTCTATTTTATTCCGATTTTAATGATTTTTTTAAAAATGCTGAAGAATTTCTTCAATGTGTGGTGATTGGTCATGTTTAAATATAAGGCCTTCTAAAAGCTGGTTGGAAATACAGGGTCCTAGGAAAGGCTTTGTAAATGGATAGGTTTAGGGTGAGCAACAAGGTTACTTGGCTGTTACCCTGGGGACTCAAGGTGTATGAGTCCTAAGCCTCTCCAGGATTCTGCTGGGTAAAACAGTTCCTTCCTGTGCTGAAGCTGCCTCCATTCTTTCCTAGGCCAGAGCCTTCTTCATCCTGCTTCCTTAACCATCCCTATATCATTCGCTTGGAATCTATCAGAAATTTCTCATCTACTAATATTACTCCCTATGCTTCATTCCCATTTTTTTTTTTCATTGTGGTGAGATTATTTTTTTAAATTCCTTTTATGCAGTGCTCAGTGATGCACGCCTGTAGTCCCAGCTACTCAGAAGGCTGAGGCAAGATCACAAGTTGGAGGCTAGCCTCAGCAATTTAGCAAGACACTCTCAAATGAAACAGTCCAGAGATATATCTTGTGGTAACATGCCCCCTGTGTTTAGTCCCCAAAACCACAAAAAATAAAATTCCTTTTTATCATTTTGAAGGGATTCAAGGAAGAGAATAGTGATAATCTCATATAAATTCCACTGGGAGCAAGAAATCTTTGTACTATGAGAAAATGAATCAATCTCACTTTTTAAAAAATATGAGTAAGGATTATGGATGTAGTTCAGTGGCAGAGGTTTGCCTAGTATGCATAAGGGCCTGGGTTCAGTCCCCAGTACCACAGATGCACACACACAAAGTAAGTGATTCTTTTTCTTTATCACAGGAGGTCTTACCTGTATTCCTAAAAAACAAGGAAAACTGGAATTCACCAGTTGCTAAATTCATACTGGAGAAACAAAGATTGGAATTAATTAGACTAATGGAGATTCAAGAAGATGATGTAGTCCTCCTGACTGCCGGAGAGCACAAGAAAGCAGTAAGAAGTCACCTGCAGGCATCTGTGCAATGGATGCTAAATGTTGCCTCTCTTCTCCTGTGGATGTGCACATTTAAAATGACTTGTTAATTTCAGAGATGGAGCTGCATCCACTGTTATGTGTCTTTCAGTACTTCTTAATGCACTATGTGAACACTGGAGTCTTTTCATTAGCTGTCAGACTCCATTGGCATCATCACACAAATTAGATCTGACTCAGATTAGGAAATCTGCCTGAGTAGAGGGTCAATAGTTTTAGTTATATAACCATGAAACACTTTTCATTTTTAAGGTTTGCAGATGAAGGAAATTTGGTAGTTGCTGACTTTTGTACATAGCGCATTACCAAGAGTGTGGCGGGACAGCTCAGACTGCTGGAGGGCTGCAGGCTGAAAGACACTCCTGGACCCGCTTAGTCAAGGCAGGACCCTTTTTTCTCAAAAGCAGTAGTTGTAGGTGGTGAGTGCTACCATGCATTGTGTAAATCACCATTCTTCAGGGCATATGTGGGAGGCTGAATTTACCTTTAAGAATCTTTGAAAGATAGGCAAAAGCGTAGTATAAAAATCAAACATGAGGGGCTGGGGTTGTGGCTCAGTGGTAAAGTGCTTGCCTAGCATGTGTGAGGCCCTGGGTTCAATTCTCAGCACCACATATAAATAAATGAATAAAATAAAGGTCCATTAACAACTAAAAATATATTTTTAAAAAATCAAACATGAATATTGAAAATATATTGTAAATGTTAAACATAAATTCAATTTTTTTCACTGTAATTTATATTTCCCTTACTATTTCTTTCAAAGGAAAGGTTTGTTTTCAGCTTCAAAGCTCAATATAATTCATTATCTTTCCCTTCTGCAATAGCAGAGTGAAGAAATCCATTTAAATACAAATTTTATTATTAATGAATTTCTTAAAAAATACATTGCAATTTTATATAACATTCTGCTGCAAATTAATTTGGTGTGAACCAAACATTCTGCTGTTTCTTTCTAAGGAAGGTAGACTACAATTCCTGCTGGACCTTTCTTGAAAGAAAGACACCAGACTGTGGGAAGTAACATTAACTTTCTGAAAAATGTCAGAATGAAGGTGTCCTGTGGGAATAGAATGGATCTCAAAGTGGCCTCCTAGGGGCTGGGTTTGCAGCTCAGTGGTAGAGCACTTGCCTGGCATGTGTGAGGCACTGGGTTCAATTCTTAGCACCACATATAAATAAATTTTAAAAAGAAAGATTTTTTTAAAAAGGTCCATCAAAACTAAAAAAGTATTAAAAAAGAAAAAAGTGGCATTCTAGGCATCTCCAGGCATGTGACACTTTTCTGATAAACTGCCTTCTCAGGGAAACTCTGCACACCATAGTTAGCATTTATTAAGTACCTCCTGTTTACCACTGATCTAAATACTGTGTATATATTGATTCATTTAATGCCCATGCCAACCCATGAGAGAAGTATGGATATTGTTATTATTTTTAATATAAGGAAACTTGCTGGGCATGGTGGATTACATGCCTATAATCCCAGCTGCCTTTAATCCCACCCACTTAGGAGGCTTAGGCAGGAAGATCCTTTGAGCCCAGGAGTTCAAAGCCAGCCTGGACTACATAGTGAGATCCCATGTCAAAAATAATTAAGGGGCTGGGGCTGTAGCTCAGTGGCAGAGTGCTTGCCTAGCATGCATGAGATACTGGGTTTAAGCCTCAGCACCACATAAAAATAAAATAAAGGTATTCTGTCCATCTACAACTACATGAATAAATTAATAAGATCACAATAGTGTCTTGGATTAAATATATTCATCCCCACTTTACTGTGGATAAGGGCACAAAAGAGTTCCTAAATAGCCACACTGAGGCTCCAAGCCAAGTCTTTGAAGCTCTGCTGTCTGTGTTCTTAATCACTGAATTACTAGGTGCTCACCACCCAGTTAGCTAAGACTGCTAGTCATCTTCAGGTCTCTGTCTCCTAAGAAAGGACATCTCATTTTCTAGTTGGCTGCTCTTTTCCTAGAGAATAGTGCTTCAGAACCCAGGTGGTGGGCTGCTTATTGTTAAGAAGCTAACTCAATGTTTGTATCTTTTGTTTGCAGTGCTCTCTGTTGGGAAAGTTACGTCTGGCTTGTGCCGACATTTTGGAAATGAATGGTATGGTGCTCCGTGACCCAGCCCTGTTCTCCTTCCTTTGGGTGGTGGATTTCCCACTCTTTCTTCCCAAGGAGGACAATCCCTTGGAGCTGGAGTCAGCCCACCACCCATTCACTGCTCCCCACCCTGGTGACATTCACCTCCTGTACACTGAACCTGAAAAGGTACTATATCTGTATTTCCAAATAAAAAGGACATATGTAAATAAAGACAAAGTACTTCAAAGTTCATAGTCTAAAGATAGCTAGGACCAGTTCTGGAAGTCCCAGGAGAAATTGAGCCAGTGGTTAATACATTGTCTAAGTAGCTACAGCATCTTTAATCTGTAGAACAGAAAGCTAGAAGTTTTCCCTAATATAAAGGCTCTGTGAATCTAGGTTCGCAGCCAACACTATGACTTGGTTTTAAATGGCAGTGAGATTGGAGGAGGTTCCATCCGAATTCACGATGCAGAGCTACAGCATTACATCCTGGCGACACTACTGAAGGTAACATACCATCTAACCTGGCCTCACTGTTTTTCCCTTGGTTTTGTTAAACATCCGTCATGATTATTTGCTAGATACAAATAGTTTCAGCTTATCTCTCTACCTTTAGTGTAGGACTTAAAAATGTAAGTGAAATAAGGATAACATTAGTGCTTATTATATGCCAGTAACTGTTTATATACTTTCTATGCATTGATACATTTAATCCTCATAGTAATCTCATGAGATAGATACCTTTATTCTTTGAAATTTCAGAGATGAGAAAGAGGCAGATGAAGTACCTGACCTATAGTCACACACAGCACAAGATAAGTAGAGCCAGGAATTGAAGACTGGCTCTTGAGCTCAACTAGCTGACCACTACACTACTCGAAAGTCATTTCCAAGCCAGGCACAGTGGTGCATGTCTTTAATCCCAGTGACTGGAGGCTGAGGCAGGTGGATCACAAATTCAAGGCCAGCCTCCGCAATTTAGCAAGACCCTGTCTAAAAATAAAAATTTTTTAAATGAGCTGGGGGGCCTGGGGGTATAGCTCAGTGGTAGAGCACTTGCCTAGCATATGTGAGGCACTGGGTTTGATCCTCAGCACCACTTAAAAAAATAAATATATAAAATAAAGGTATTGTATGCATCTACAACTAAAATAATTTTTTAAAATGGGCTGGGGATATAGCTCAGAGGTGAGGCACCTGAGTTAAATCCCCATTACCATCCCCCCCAAAAAAATGTTATTTCCAGTAACTGAAAATGTTGAGAGAGAAAAGTATGAAGAGATTTTATGCCTTTTAATAGATATATTTGAGCTGTATGAAAGGTAGGGATATATTTTAGTGATATAGAGAGTGGGATTTGGTCAGAATTTTAAAAATTGAAAAATAAAGGTCGAGAATTTAAAAATTCAGTGATTTCTCTAGGATAGGATAAGTTTCATGAAGGAAACCATCCATCAATCCAGTCCTAAAAACTAATTTTGTGGGACTAACAGGTATGAAGTAGGATGTGAGAGCCCGTTTGGAAAACTCAAAACATCAGGTGCTCTTTGATTTTAAGGGCATTGTGAAACCTGTGCCCTTTTCTGCCCGAAGCTCCCAGACCTGTTTCCAGCCTACCTTTTTCATTCCTTTCATTTTCAAGCTTTTCAGAAGAGTAAGAATACACTTCTTTGCCTCTGGTGATTCTTAGCCCTTTCCTACTGCCCATTAGAACAGAATCATCTGGCTGGACATGGTGGCACATGCCTATGATCCCTGCTACTTGGGAGGCTGAGGCAGAAGGATCACAAGTTCTAGGCCAATTTAGTGAGACATTGTTTTAAAGGCTGGGGGTGTGGTTCAGTGGTAGAGTGCTTACCTGGTATGTGCAAGAACCTGGGTTCAATCCCTAGGACTGAAAGAAAAAGAAAATTGAATCACCTTTCCAGTTAAAAAAAAAAAAAAAAAAAAAATCCCTGATGTTTGGGCTCCACATAAATAAAATGATTGGTACTCATTTTTTGAAGTTCCTCACTAGATCCTACCCTAGAGTCTGGCTGGAGAATTATTCCGGTGCTTGGCCTTCAGCCTCTCCTGCCTCCCAGCAGCATTTGATACTTATGCTTTTCTCTTGGTCCCTGTGACAGCACAGCCTGCTACTCATCTTGCCCTTTTGAGCCTACACCTCCACCTTCCTTGGTCCGTCTTATTCCGTTCCGATTAGCAGAACAGTAGTGGTGGCAGTTACTAAGCACCAGGCACTTTTCTACATGTTGTCTGTGATTTGTCTTGTTCCCTTGCTAAACTGTAAACCTCTTTAAAGTTTTTTTTTGTTTTTGTTTTAACTCTGCTAATGAATTTTCATGATAACTTAGTTAAGTCACATTAAGGTTAACTCAACTTTATTTCCCATTAGCACCTAAGCCTTGAACACAGTACTTAGTGGACCTTCGGTATTTATATTTAATGGAATATCTTTTGAATTTCAGGAAGATGTGAAATTACTGTCCCATCTGCTCCAGGCTTTAGATTATGGGGCACCCCCTCATGGAGGAATTGCCTTAGGTAAATAACTTGTACATTTATAAACTACATTTCATTCCATAGCACTGTCTCAAGTTGGGGTTTTTAGCCTATGATAAGTGGCGGGTGGAGTTGAGGTCAAGCGTTCTATGAGAATGTAAGTTTGTTTTAATTTCAGTAATATATTTTTATGTATGTATTTATTTTTTGGTACTTGAGATTAAAACCAGAACTTCACACATGCTAAAAGCACATGCCCTAAAAGTATATTTTACTAGTTAAAACTTGACATAATTTTGCATTTGAAAGGTTTTTATGGTACTGGGTATTGAACCCAGGGAGACTCTACCACAGAGCTACACCTGGAGCTTTTTTTTTCCTCCTTTCCTTGAGGCAGAATCTTGCTAAATTGCTCAGGCTGGCCTCAAACTTGGAATCCTCCTTCCTCAGCCTCCAAAGCCACTGGGATTACAGGCATACACCACTACCATGTCCAGTTCAGTTCTGTAAAAACAGAATACTATGGTTGGTGCAGCCTAGATTTTATTTAGAAGTTATATATAGAATTGTAGTTCAGTGTTAAGAGTGCTTGCCTAGCATATGTGATGCCCTGGGTTTGGTCTCCAGTATCACCAAAAATAAAGTTCTCTACAAATTTTATAGAAAAACTAAGACATTCCCAACATTTGATTACTATGTATTTCTCATTGGCTAACTGTATTCTACTCACAGGGTTAGACAGACTGATGTGCCTTATCACTGGAGCTGCAAGCATCAGAGATGTCATAGCCTTCCCAAAATCCTTCCGGGGACATGACCTCATGAGCAACGCCCCAGATTCTGTTTCTCCTCAGGAACTGAAGCCCTATCACATCCAGGTCTCCTGGCCAGCAGACTCAGAAGCAGAAAGGAGCTCACTGAATCATTCACACCATCCAGAAAGTTGAACTTGAGTTTTGTCCTCTTTGCTTCACCAAGGCTAAAATCAAATCTGGATGTGTCACTCATATGACAAGTCTGTAGGCGAATATAACCCAGGAAGGATTCTTCACAATAATGTATCAAAATTTCACAATATGCTTTTTTTTTTTTGGTTGGGACTTTTTTATAAGTTCCTTTTTACTTGGAGTTAAAAATATATATATATGGCTCTTTCGCGGGGTATTGTGGCTTACACCTGTAATCCCAGCAGTTCAGGAGACAAGGCAGGAGGATCACGAGTTCCAAGCCAGCCTCAGCAAAAGCGAGATGCTAAGCAACTCAGTGAGACCCTGTCTGTAAATAAAATACAAAATAGGGCTGGGGAGTGGGTCAGTGATTGAGTGCCCCTGGGTTTAATATCTGGTGCCCTACCACCGCATCCCCACAAAAGGCTCTTTATTGGAGTAATATAGTGGCTTAGTGTTTTCTAATCATGTTTTTCATGTTCAGATGGTAGATTTACTCAGAACAGGAAATCAAATTATATAGAAAAATGCTTGTCTCTCTAGACTGCCACTTGATGGAGGGTTTCAGTTCATCCAGCCCTGATGACATTTCAACCATCAATAATATTAAGTAGCATAATATAATGCGTGTACACACACACAAAATCAGTCATGAAGTCTGTGTTTCACATTAAGCAAATTTTATAGCCTCCCTATTTATGTAAAATGCAAACAATACTTGCCCTGATTGCTTAGTAGGGCTCTTGCAGAAGGAAAAAAGGATTTATGAATCAGTATTCTTTATGTTTTCAATTTTTAGGGATAATCATTAGTCCTTGAATATTTTCCCTCTATTATAAATACTGACCTTAGACCAACTTCAAATATAAAAAATGTGGGGCTGGGGATGTGGCTCAAGTGGTAGCGCGCTCGCCTGGCGTGCGTGCGGCCCAGGTTCGATCCTCAGCACCACATACAAACAAAGATGTTGTGTCCGCCGAGAACTAAAAAATAAATAATAAAAAAATTCTCTCTCTTTAAAATATATATATATATATGATTTTGTTTTGATAAAAATAAAAATTTAATAATTGCAAAATGAGATTAATCTCAATACTGAAATTCTACTTGATCTTCTGCCTTGATAAAATTCCTTTGATTTATAATTTGTAAACACTATCAGTTTTATGTCCTTATTTTCTCAACACTCTAAGCAATATAACACTATAAGAAAATAAGACTCCACCCCAGTTAACTTGTGACACCTAGAAAGCTATGGAGTGCTAGGCACAATGGCACACACGCACCTATAATGCCAGTGACTTGGGAGGCCAAGGAAGGATCACAAATTCCATGCTAGCCTCAGCAGTTAAACAAAGAACCTCTTTATTTTAAATAAACCTTATTTTAAATGAATAAAAATGGCTGGAGATGTGGCTCACTGGTAAAGTGGTACTACTGGGTTCAATTCCCAGTACAGCTTCCCTCTCACACACACACAAAAAAGCTATGAATGTTTTTCCCTACAACAGCAAATTGATTCACTATTAGAGCTTTTCCCTAAACTTTTTTTTTTTTTTTTTTTACCTTGCTTGTGTCTCCCTCATTTGCTGGTTCTTGCTGGCAGGGTTCCCTTAGTTAGGTGTCCAATTCTGCCTGCCCTTTGTCAGTAGAATTTCTAGAGATGCCCTTTATTGGATAAGGAAATAAAACTTTACATCCATCAATATCATCTAAGGTTGTTGGCTAATTTCTAAATACATATATATATTTGCTGTTCAATGCCTAATTCTCACCAAACTGTCCTGGAAGCAAGCTGTATACAGAAGAGACCCACAATCCAGATCTTTTCTGGAATACAAATACCAAAGGCCCTAGGTCTCTGGGAGACAGTCCTGCCCCGACATACCAGAAATAATCACTTTGGGCATTACTCAACTTCAGACCATTTGGGGGGGTGGGGGGAACCACTACTGAAATCTAAGGAAATGTTACTATTTAAGACATCATCGTGGTAAGGTGATATTTGAAATTAAGCATTTTCTTTAAAAAAAAAAAAATAAATGCATAAGTTTGGAATGCATAAGTTATAGACTGGGAACCAAGAGTATTTCAAATTCAGTCTCCTCAGCCTCCAAGAGAATTTAACTTCTTTTGTCCACTTCAGACATTCAGCCTTTGTTTTTTGGGGACTGGCTTACTTTGCTTAGCATGATATTCTCCAACTTAAATGGACTAGGGAGCTGAATAGATACTTCTCAGAAGATACACATTTGATCAACAAATATATGAAAAAATGTTCATCTCTAGCAATTGGAGAAATGCAAATCAAGAGATACTCTAACATTGACCTTGTTTGTCATCCAAGAGAACAGGAGTGACAGATGTACTCACCTCTTCTAGAAACTAGGTGCCCTGGCTAGACGTCATGTTTTGCTGAGGTAGGCAAGAAACATGGCACAGGAAACATCATCGCAGCATAGTAACATCTTAGACACTTTGTAAAGAATCCACAATGGATCTTACCTCACAAAGCTGAGTTCACTAGGAACAAAATGCTACATATGCTTATGATAGCACTATAGATGATGGGCAAGTTTCTAGACCCAGGAAACAGTATTTGCAGCTTCATCTCACATACTGCTAATCTGACTGCCCATGGACAGGCTGATGTGGGAGACAAAAGAGCTACCAAAAAATGAGTGATCTACAGAATCATAGATAGCAAGCCATCAACTCTAGCAAAAGAAAGAGTCATCTATCTTAGATATGATCCACTTAGAGGAATCCAAGAAGACCAAGCCTACTCTTACATAATACTGTAGGTCTCCTCAAGACCCAACTAACTTTTCCATGGCCTTGACTATGCAGGCAAGTCTAGTAGGATTAACTCCAACAAGAGGGACAGAAAAACATGAGAGAAGTTCTCCCAGGCATACAGCTCATCTGTGAATGGGATGAGAACCAATGAGAAAGAAAGGAATGATTTGCACCCATTATCCTCAAAGCATAGTGCGTAGTCTGTTAATGTGCATGTGATAAACAGAAATTGAGTATAACTATTTAGAAACCATTACGACAATTTGACAAGGTAATTCTGTTGAATATCAGTAAAAAAAAAAAAAACTTGTAAAGAAAACAACAGAATGGCAGTTATTGGTGCAACCAGTCTGGAAAGCAGTGGAGATACCTTAGGAAACTAAGGAACCACCATTTGACCCAACTATCCTACTCCTTGGTAGATACCCAAAAGACTTAAATCAGCACACTACAGTATCACAGCCATCAATGTTTATAGCAACTCAATTCATAGTAGGTAAACTGGAAGCAACCAAGATATCCTTCAACAGATGGTAATGTGGTATATATACACACAATGGGTCATTACTCAACATTGAAAATAATTGGATGGAATTGGAAACATCAGACCTTAATTTTTAGTTGACTGGTGCAGAGGAGTAAACCCAGTGCCTCACTCGTCCCAGACAAGGGCACTACTGCTGAGTCCCAGCCCCCTCACCTTTTTCTTGTAACATTTTATAAAAATGTTAGGTGGGACATCTGAGCAACTGCAGATACATATCCTATGTATCATATTTCTATGACTAATGATCAAGTCTCAAGACATGCCTTGCAAATTCCTATCATTTGGCCAAGCTTCTCAGTTCCATGCAGTCACACATTGGGTTTGTTTTTTTAAGTATTGAGTTACACCATGGAGAAAGGATAAATTTAAACTGTCCTGAAAACCTGTAAGATGAATATGGTAAAGGGCATGTTCAAAGATGAATGTGGCCATTCTGCTTAGCACACAACCAAGTTTGTCAATATAGCCACCCATTATGACAAAAATAACTTATGAAATGCTAACAGATTTCTTCAGGAAATTTAGGGAGTTAACTGGCAATCCACACTGACAAAACACATTGACTCCCGATTTGCAGTTCAGGCAAAAAAATATAAGGCAAATGCTCCACTGAGAAGTACCAATAACTTTATCTAATTGCTTTATCTAATGTTATCCATCCTATAGGGTATATCACTTTTGACATAACCATTTATGTCTCTCTTGTCCAAAATATTCGGCTGATAGGTATTTCAATGACCTATTACTTTGAGTAAATCTCAAAAAACATTTTTCTTTGGGAGGTTTCACCAAGCAGTGATAATCCAAATTTGATATTTCCCTTAGTCTTAAGTTCTCTCCATGACTTAAGATTTTTATTGTCTTTCAGGTACTTTAAAAAGCACTGACCCAGTCTTTCAGCCCCATAATGAATCCTTCAAATATATGGCTCATCCTGAGTAGATCTTATTTCTGTTGGCATTAAATATGGCATTTCAAGCAGAAAACAACAAGACACCCAATACCAGTGTATTGCCTACACTGATAAAGAAGTCTTCATGACTTGTACAGGCTCTATTTCAACTCAAAATGACAAAGCACTAAAATTTTCCTTAGTGACTTTTATTAGGCACCTTTATTCCCTTCCCCATCATGCTTGAAATATACTTCATGGGTTCAACCCCCAGCCCAAAACTAGACTCAGATCTCTTCAGAAACTTAAAGTGATGACATATTCAATCTTCTATCCCAAGAGAAGAGCATCCATCCAGCTTCCTGCAACAAAAAACACTTTTTAGCCACATTTCCAGATTACAACTTAAATGGTACTTGGGGAACACAGAATATCAGATCTTTTTACTGTCATCAAGTGATCAGTGAGAGAGTTCAAGTTGGGGTGAGATCATCATGTATTCAGAATAGTAATTAGTGCTGATAGTTTCAATACTTACCTAAAGGTTAAGTGATATCCCTGCAGCTGCCACAAAAGCCCTAAAACAAAAAAGTCCATATTAATCATGGCAAAAAAATGTTACAGGATGCTTTTTAGGTGTAGTAACCTCAGAATCAAAAATGGAACGGTTTTGAAAGTGATATCATTACATTCATTTGGCAGAATCATTACATCACTGGTTACATACTAAAATATGTAATATATGTACTAAATCTTGACATACCTAGATCTCAGGATGCAGCACACCTGTTAAAGAAAACAAGTACACACTTGAAATTTATCGTACTTTATGGTGGAGAACATAGATTAGCTTTTCATGAAGCCCAGGGTTCAATCCCCAGCATCCCAAAGTAAATGGTAAAGGTCCTACTCTCTTTCATTTTAGTGGCATATTTTTATCTTTAAAAAAAATAGCTCATTTGGGGCAAGTGAAGTAACTTTTTAAAAAGTATTTATGTTTTAGTTAAGCTAAGTAATTTTGAGTATGTAATAAAATTATCCTAAGTTTTGGTACTAACCTCCCCAATCATGAGTTCTCATTATTGCTTCTCCTGGGCTCATGAGATGGTCATCCCTCAGGATAGTGTAGATAGGAGGATCATAGACACACCTTGTCCAGCTTCACTCCTGGCATTAATGGAAAATACAGGGTAGGATCTGAAACAGTCATTGTAGTACCAAGTCCATAAAAATTTTGTATGGGGACAATAAAGGTCATTTTTAACAGAATGAGTCGGATTGTTGAGCCAGATACATCAGATAGGAGCGAAAGACATGATTGCTCATCAGTGAAAATCTGCTGAACTATGTTATCATCATTGTATCGGCTTTGAGAACATCTAGTCTATATCCAGCTTGAGGCCTGAGGTGCCCACCTAGTATATGCAAGGCCTTAGTTCACCCCTTAATTAAAATCTTGAGACTGATGTACCTTTGCTTAAAACTTCTTGCCACTGCTTCCCAAGCTGAGTCTGTGTACCTGCAGGAATTTAGTCTAACTTAGCAATAGGTTTTTAACAAAGATATTTCTAAATATTTTCCAACTACTGTTTCAGTTTAACGTTAATCTTCATTCTCTGTCAGAGAGATTCCCATCTGTTTCAACTTTAAGTCATCATTAACAGCACCTTACACAATAAGTATGTAAGATAAATGATACATACCTTTAAATAGTTTCAGGGCTGGGGTTGTGACTCAGTGGTTGCACGCTTGCCTGGCATGCATGAGGCACTGTGTTCAATTCTCAGCACCACATAATAAAGGTCCGTCAACAACTTTAAAATATTAAAAAAAAAAACAGGTCTCCAATCTGTAAAGTTATTGCTTTAGAAACTTCTTCCCAACAGTTTCATACTAACTTTGAAAACAGTTATTTACCTTATTTACAAATACTTGCAACCCTTATTCAATTGTTAAATCTACTTTATATATAGTAAAGTTATTTCTGGTCTACTGGTTTAACAAGAAATAATCCTTAGACTTAACAATTCATTAGTAAAATTATGTTTCAAAATTATAAACCTAAGACATCAGGAACTAAAAAATTGTTTTTGTGGTCTTACCCAATCATGCTATCCAGATCAAAATGTGTTTCCAGGAACTACAAATGAAAGTATGAGGAACTTTGTTAGTATGCTAAATGTCATCAATTCTCTTCAAACTGTATGTCTTGGGTTCTTCAGCATAAAACTTGTCTACATGCTCATTTCAGGTCAGACATTTGAACAACATCATTACACAAACCCCATTTGGAGCATGCTCAAATATGCCAAATTTTCATTCACTTTTAAATTATGCAACAGGCATGCAGTTTATTGGCATTCTCAGGTAATGCTTTCCAATACTTACTAGAAAAATAAAGCAGATCCAAAGAAATCATCCTCCACCTAATGAATAAGGGTGACTTTAGAATAGCCAAATATGAAATTTCTCCCAGCCCAAACCAACAATGCCCGAAATCAGTTAGAGCTAATTAAAAACTTCACGTTCAGTCAGTTATCTTCTTATCATCATCCAGGCCACACTGACCTCACAGAAATGGTAACAGGCAAGATACTGGCATTTAATGAATTTAGCCCTCATGCTTGAGTGCTTACTACAAAAAAATGCAATCCAAAAACGCCATCTTTTTTGCCCAGCTACCTATGTTTAGTGGAATGCTTTACTCACCATTTCTACTTCTGGTTTTCTATCTAGTGCCTAAAAAAAATATATAAAAAATTTTAGATCTTAAAGTTGCTAATTGCCATATTGCTTATGCTAATTAACAGCCATGAACAACAATCCCAGATACATCAGAAAAGGTAAATTTCTTCATGCCTTAAATCTGCTGAACTATGCAACCATCACAGTATCTGCCTATTCCGCCTGCCCCCAGAAGTTTGATTTAGGAATTAGAGCAGATCACATCTACAAAGGGGGAAATGCTAATAAGATTGTTTTGTCTACTTTCAATTTTAAATAATGCATGAGCATATAAATGTTTCTAACCTTGCGTCCATTGCTGGAGAGGCTCTTTTTTACCTGGGAAAAAACAATTTCATGTTACCAAGGTGCAATCTCTACAGTCCCCAAATAACTATTTTGTGTGCCTCAGTTAAAATAATGGTGGTTTAGTCTATCGTCATTCTTGCAGTCAAGAGTAGCAAATAAATGTCATCATTGTAGCACATTAATCTAAATCCCTTATGAGGAAATTTCAGTATCTTACCTTAGCATTCATTCCTTTGGCATGTAACTAGAAAACAAATAATACAAACAATGAGAAACATCCTTGGGTGAATTAAAAATCAGATTACATGTTCAAAATATTAAAGCCTCAGAATGAAATTTTTCAGAAATCCCTTCTGTCCACTACTCTTTACACCATCATAGGCTTAATATAAAAGCTATCTCTATGAATATTTCATTCTTACCTGCATGCAAGATGCCATCCGGGGCCACACTGCAGCTATTTCGGAATGCTGAAGCAAGTAGATATAGTTTAGGGGACACCCTGCGTCTCTAAACAGAAAAACGTTTGGAGATGTGGCTCCTGGGTTCAATTTCCAGTGTCCACACAAAATAACCCACATTACATACCTACCCCATACCATTTCTAATACGTTAGACCTTAAATTCATTCGTTCCATTTAAGTTAATATTTTACCACATTTGTTACTATCTAATACCGATAGTTCATACCACCATAGGCTTAAGTAAATGATGCACTTCATGTTGCAAAATAACAATGCAACTAAAAACCACTGATAAAAAATCGTGAATACATATGAATATGCAAGCAAGAAATACACTGTTATGCACCAAAATGGTGCACTGCGGAATCCAGCCACCTAAAAGAACCACGTGGGCTCTTCTGTCCTTCCCTCAGATCGAGCCGCTCCAGGCTGGGAGCGCCATTACTGGAACAAAGGCCTACTCTGGCGACTCGGCGCCGGCCGCCTTCAGAGCCGTTGGCATTCTTCAACACTCTTCAGATGTCCCTACCAACTAAGGCTTCATCACAGGCAGGGCACTCGAGCCGCGTCTTCCTCATAGTTTAAGCCCCCAAATCCCAACGCTATCTAGGTCGCGCGGGCTCCCAACACGCCATCTCCCCCTCCGCCTAGAGAGGCCTGCAAATGCGCGCCTTAGGCCTAGCAAAGCAACCCGTTCGGGAAGGACAAAACGCCTAAGAGTTCCAAGAGCTGACCGCTTTCAACCACCGCAAAGCAGCAACCTACCTACTCCCGATCAGACTCGCAGCACCGAAAGACCGATATGGCGCCCGAACTCCAGTATAAGAGCGTTCTTCTTCGTGACGTCACAACGTCCGCCCCTCCCCTCGCCGCCGCTGCTCCGCCCCGCACCCTCTCTAAGCCACCTCCCCTCCCCCAGCCCCACCTCCCGCCCGCTCCCGAGGCCCCGCCCGACCTCGTAATTTGGGGCGGGGACACGACCGCTCACGTGACGCTGGGATCCGCCCTCCTCCTCGCCCGGGAGGAAACGCTGAGAGGGGAGGGGGCGCGAACGGAAAGCGCTGGGGGAGGGGGACGGTGTAAGGGTGAGCGATTTCCTTCCGGCACGTCGCCCGCTCCGGGGGAGGGGGCGGGGGGTTTCACTTCCGGGACGGTGTTCCGGCCCATTCCGGCCCATTTCCACCCCCGGAGGTAGGTGCTGCTCCTCTACTGGGCTCGAGACCCGTTCCCCGGCCCCGCCGCCCTGCCCCGTGGCCGCCCCGCCCGTCTGCGCCGCAGCCCGCTCCCGCGACGCCCAGGCGCTTCCCCGCACCGCCCCTCACGGCACCGGCGACCTTCCGCCCCTTTGGCCCTGAGCCGGGCCGAGCCGCAGACCCGCCCTCTCGCGGGGCCCCTCCCTCAAGACCCCGGGTGGGCGGCCCCCTCCCCCGGGCCGCCGGGACACACCCAGATGCACACACCCACCTCCGGCCGCTCCCCTCCCGCGACGCACCGCCTGGACCCGGGCCCGGGGCGCCGCCCCCTTCCCAGTGCTCTGCCCTCACCTTTGCGCCCGCTCCTCGTTCCTCCGTGACATGTCGCCCCTCACCCAGTTCCGTTTCCCCACGCTTCCTAACGCAGACGAAAGCCGCTCAAGTTCCAGAGTGGCCAACCCCATGGCGATCCCGATTCTCCCTCTTTCAGCTCTCACTCCTCCAGTGCCGACGGTAGAGAAAGACTTTACTCCAGGTCTTCCTCCTCACTGGGGAATTGCCGGAAAGAGCAAACAAAAAAGGCGCTGGTGTAGGCTCCAAAATAAACACATCTGAATTCATGATGGCATCGACAGAGGCTCTTATTGGATTAAAAGTTTCAAAACAAACAATAACGCTTTGGAAAAAGGTCAGATTGGCTAAAGTTGGTTCTTGAAAGCAGTGTGTACACTTCCCTGTTTACTGTTAAATGTGTTGTCAATGCGGGGCAATGCTGTGAGCTTCTTAGGATAAGTTCCTGCAGTTTCAAGGCATATGCAACTATGAATATAAAACTTTAGATAAGTGGAGGTGCACTGGACTTAAAGCATTGTCTTCCTTATGGGATTTCTGCAAACTGTACTCTATAAACTATTAAAAACAATTGGATGCAGTCGCATTCTTTCAATGTATTTGTAAATGTTCTATTGTTACCAGCTCTAGGGAAGCAAATTTCAGGATCAAAGTATCATCACCACTCTGAAATTCCCAACCTCGAATTCGAATAGTGGCAGATTTCATGACCTTTCCTAACTTTGAGAACTGAACTTTGAAGTTCTCTGTGTTTTGATCTGATTCCTGACACAGCTGCAGAATTTTTCTTAATGTAGGGTTTGCCTCAGAGAGCCATATCCAAAGGCTTACTGTGGGAGCTCTGACTTCTAAACTTAAAAATTGGCCTGCATTCATATGGGATATTAGTCACTTTACAAAGTAATAAGCATAACTCAAGCAGCATGTTTTAAAACGTTAAGAGGTATATCCAGTCAATCTATCTGTGTGTAGATACATTTATTCAAAAAGCTTTCCTCCTTCAAAGTTGTAATGTTGTCATAGGATTTTATATTCAGTCTGCAAATACATTGCCATTAACGTCCCTCCTCCCTTTTGTCAAACTTCTGTTTTGCTGTTGTATAAAGAAAGCATGATCATAGTTTGAATTTTTAGGAGTCTAAAGATTGCTTTTTTGATGTTAACTATCTTGCTGTGAAACAGACTAAAAAACCTGTAGGTAATATGATTTCCATATCTCAACATCAGGTATCTCTTTGTACTTGGAGATTTTACCAAATGATATTTTTAAGTATGTTTGAACTAAAAAGCATCAGGGTAATAAAATTATGATTAATGAGAACATGGTTTCTTTCAGCAGGGTTGAATGCCTGCCTGCACCTTCAGGCACGACCATGGAGAAAGGTGGGAACATACAATTGGAGATCCCTGACTTCAGCAACTCAGTCCTCAGCCATCTAAATCAACTGCGCATGCAGGGCCGTCTCTGTGATATTGTGGTCAATGTGCAAGGACAAGCTTTTCGGGCTCATAAAGTGGTACTGGCGGCCAGCTCCCCCTATTTCCGGGATCATATGTCCTTGAATGAAATGAGTACTGTCTCCATTTCAGTCATCAAGAACCCTACTGTTTTTGAACAGCTTCTTTCTTTCTGTTACACGGGGCGGATATGCCTGCAGCTGGCAGATATCATCAGCTACCTAACAGCTGCCAGTTTTCTGCAAATGCAGCATATTATAGACAAATGTACACAGATCCTAGAGGGTATTCATTTCAAAATTAATGTGGCTGAGGTTGAAGCAGAATTAAGTCAAACAAGGACAAAGCATCAAGATAGGCCTCCTGAGTCTCACAGGGTTACACCAAATCTAAACCGCTCCCTTAGCCCACGACATAATACCCCAAAGGGAAACCGGCGAGGGCAGGTCAGTGCTGTGCTAGATATCAGAGAGCTAAGTCCCCCTGAGGAGTCCACCAGCCCTCAGATAATTGAACAGAGTTCTGATGTAGAAAGCCGGGAGCCCATTCTTCGAATCAACCGGGCAGGACAGTGGTATGTGGAGACAGGAGTAGCAGACCGGGGTGGCCGGAGTGATGATGAAGTTAGGGTTCTTGGAGCAGTGCACATCAAAACTGAAAATCTCGAGGAGTGGCTTGGGCCTGAGAATCAGCCTTCTGGAGAAGATGGGAGTAGTGCAGAGGAAGTCACAGCCATGGTAATTGACACCACAGGCCATGGTTCTGTAGGACAGGAGAGTTACACCTTAGGGTCTTCAGGAGCCAAGGTGGCTCGGCCAACAAGCAGTGAAGTTGACAGGTAAGTTCTGAGTTTTTTTCCCTTCTAATGGCTCTTGTACAGACATCACTAAGAGGGTCCTCTGTGTGGTACAGACATGTTTACCACATGTACTTAGCCAGAATAAGTTGATGTTGGGGATTTGAGGTGTCCAAAAGACCTGTATCCTTATTTTTTTAAAGCAGGAAGCTCCTAGTCATGATGTATTCACAATGCTGTGAGAACTAGGGTAAAGTTAGACACCTACATGAATCAACATCCGCAGCCACACTAGGATCAGTCATTGCCAGGGCTTTCTCAGGATTCCCGGCAAGGAACTGATCATCAGTTGGGAACCTGGCAGCATTGCCCTTCCTTGGTTATCACACAGGTATGTGCCTTGGGGAGTTAAACTTTCCTTTGTGGCACTATATGCTTTTCTTTGCGCCCACCTAACAAACTAGAGGAAGTGTGGTATCATCAGTGATTGTTTGTTTCACATTAGTGTCAACATAGTACACTGAATCCAAAGAAAAGCTTTTTGGTTATTCTTCATTCTTATTTTCATTTGTCATTTGGTGGTCTCTTATCTGTTCTCTGTCAAAGATGAATGCTGCTACTGCAGACCTGAGACTGTCCTTTTTCACCAGTGGTACTGTGCCCTGTGCCTCACTTCTCTCTTCCTAATACATCAAATTTTTTAGAACATTTATCTTTGATGGAAATATCACTAATTTTAATCTAAGCCAATTGAAACAAAGAAATAATTTATATTGTAATATTTGTTCTTTCTCCTCTTAAAAGTAAATAAAAATTAGCCAGGCATGGTGGTGCACATCTGTAACCCCAACAACTAAGAAGGCTGTGGGGCAGGAGGATTACAAGTTCAAAGCCAGCCTCAGCAACTTAGCAAG